TTATGTCTTTTTATGACTGGCTTCTTTCACTTTGCATCATGTCCTCAATGCTCATCTGTGTTACAACATGGCTTATTTACTTTTTTTATTAAAATTTTGTTTTGTAGTTGTAGATGGACAGCATGCCTTTATTTTATTTATTTGTTTATTTTTATGTGGTGCTGAGGATTGAACCCAGTGCCTCACATGTGCTAAGCAAGTGCTCTACCACTGAGCTACAGCCCCAGCCCTTCCTTTACTTTTAATAACAACAACAGAAATGCACCCCTCCCCCGCTGTCCAAATATGGAGGCAGGTCACAATGTGGATGGTTGAAAGATGTCAAAATCAACCAACAGTGGTGGTTGCACACATGCCTATGTGCAATGGAGCCCCCTGCCCAATTGAGCACAGAGCTGTGGTCATCTCAGTGACATGTGAGCCCACTTAAGTAGCAACAGGTTTACCTGTGTCATTCTTCAGGTGTCTACCAAGGTCCAATGCAACAACTATTCCTGGCAATGGCCTTTGGGGAAAGGAATGAGTCTTGGCTCCTTTTGAGCTGGTCACAGCCCTATAGTCATGCTCTCTTCTACTGGCTGATAGTAGAAGGCTCTTTGCACATGTGCATGATGAGGCCACTTCACAGTCCCAGTGACTAGAGCAAGAGACATATTAGTAGTGTGGTTGGCCCAGAAGCTAGCACAGCAGAAGGGAAAGGTTTAATAAACCTAAGTGCTTCCGAGAAGAATATGAGCTATTCAATCAGGGAAAAGATGTGGAACAAGAAAGGTCAAATTCACTACAGCTGGTGCAAGGAGAGCTGAAGCTCTATGCTGCCAAATTGGGTTAGCCTTTGGGGGCTGCACACATTTCAATGAACTTAATAACAATTTCCAAAATATTCCTGCTGCACCTTCTAAAGATTTGAATGAAAGATCATTTGCATTCTAGAGTTTCCCTTGGCCCTCAGGTTATGGGATAGGTATAGCTTTGTAAGCTAGGGGAACTGTGTCATCCTAACCAAACTTGTGAGTTCTCAGAGGCCCCATTTACTTCCTGCCTCTACCTAGCTCTCCTCTTATCTTGTTTTCCTAACATCCCGTTGTCAGTTAGGAGTATGGACCACCAAGGAAGATATACAAGAGGGCTTTGTACAGAAGTCAGTGGGAAATGCAACTTCTTAATGTTGTATATGTCATCTGAGCAGTGTGGGAGAGGGAAGCCAGCTCCCAGCCCCACCACTCATCTTCTGGCTGCCAGCTGCCAGTGCACTAGTTTGCAAAAAGGCCTGGAGAGGGAGAAAAGACCTGGGATTCCTGCACAGCTGGCTGAAGGAAAGGCAGTGCCTTCTCTAACTCAGTGGTTCTCAGTCTAGGGCAGACCTCAGAACCAACTGGCGACCTGTTCAAAGCAGATCGCTGGACCCCACAATGCAGTTGCTGACTCAGTAGGTTCAGGGTGGGCCTGAGAATTTGTGTTTCTTATAAGCTCACGGCTGCTATTGCTGCTAATGAAGTCAAGACTATGAGAACCACTGTTCTGGTTTCTCCCAAGTTGGTGATGGTGCTTTCCCTTTCTTCCCTGGCCACCTCTCACACACCTGCTAATGCTCCATGACTTCTGTGCCCAATCAGCACGCCCCCCTGTGGAAGCCTTCTCTTATCTCTCATGATTCCTCTCTCCTTCAAATGCCTGACACCATGTTTAGCCTAGTGCTGGGCGCCATGCTGTGCCACTTGGGATGTGCACACCCCCGGACTCCTTTACCAGATTTAAAGCAGATCAAGAGTGTGTTTTGTCATCTCCACATGCCTTACAGTGTCGAGCATATGGTAGTGGCTCATTTAACAAACACTTGTTGGATGCCATGGTTCCTTAAAGGGGAGGAGGTGCCAGTGCTTATATTTTGTTCTATTTTGCCTCTCTTCTGTCTTCCTTCCCAGCCTCTGTACAGGCTCCTTAGCATGTGTGTCTTACATTCTAAGAAACCTAGTGTGATCGATTTCAACAGGCAAAAAAAAAAAATTTGAATCAAAGAAATGCTTATTATTTCTTAGTACTTAATGCACTTTAATTTTTTTTTCTTTGCTAAACAATTGGACAACTGATGTATACACTTACCTGTTAATGAACTTGTTTTCTTCTGCCAAAGTTGATGTAGGAACATAAACTGAATTCAGATTTATGTCACAGATCCTCTGAAGAAAGGGTATTGTGTGCTATGTGAACCCAAATCTTTGCCAGAATTTGCTGGGCTGGATGGATGGATGCACAGACAGAAAGATGCTTGAACAGAAGGACACACAGTCAAATTGGCAGCTCTTGCTGGGAACTAGGCATCAGCACCAGCTGCCGTGTCTGGGCCTGAGCACCTCCTCACCAGCCAGCAAGCTTGCTACCACGTGGTATTTTAGAAGAGACTGTCACTTTCTCTTTAAACAGGAATAAGCATCCCTGAGGGAAAAAAGGAATATGTAAGTTTAGGAAGACTATAGTCTTTTTAAGATAGATTCACTTAACACAAATGTATTGAGGGGCTACCGTGTGCCAGCCCCTGCTCAGATGGCCCAGTTCACTTTTTAGGAATTCCATCTAGGAAGATCAGAAGGACATCAGCCAGCAGTTTATGTCCAGTTTGAGCAAGTGGAAGCACACATTAAGGACCCTCAGATGTTTACATCCTTGACCACTAGTAAGAATGTTCCTTCAATTTCTAGAAAAGTAAGTTAGTATGGAATTTAAACAGGGATAAGATACTTCAAAAATTATTATAAGAATTGATTTAAAAATTCAATAATAATAAAATGGATATTCCCCTAGGCCATAATTATAGTCTGGGCCTTGGGGATGTCTTAGTTATTATTTCATAGTATATAAAAGTAGGCTGTACTTATCTAGCCCACCACATAACTAAGGTGTTTGGGGTGCAAAGAGCATTCTTTCTACCCCTTGAGAAGATGGGGGCTCAGAAATATAAAACTTACTCATTTTGCTATTTGAACATGAATATATTACAAATAACTGTCCATACCTAAATCTGTGTGCCTATTCACAGATGAATTTATGAGGTTATGTGTTTAATAATGTGTATAAAACTTTTGGGGGGCTGAGGTTGTGGCTCAGAGATAGAGCGCTCACCTGGCATGTGTGAGGCACTGGGTTCTCTCCTTAGCACCACATTAAAATAAAATAAAGACGGTTGGAGCTATAGCTGAGTGGTAGAGCACCTGCCTTGCATGAGTGAGGCACTGGGTTCAATCCCTCAGCACCATATAAAAATAAATAAATAAAGATATTGTGTCCATCTACAACTAAAAATTTTTTTTTAAATTAAAAAAATAAAGATTGTGTCCACCTATAACTAAAAAATACATATTAAAAAACCTTTTAAGGGTGTTTTTTTTAGAATGCCTTTATTTAATGTGTTTATTTTTTATGCAGTGCTAAGGATTGAACCCACCACTCACACGTGCTAGGCAAGTGCTCTGCCACAGCCATAATGTGTATAAAACTTAATGAAAAATAAGTTCAGACACCTTTGTGAAAAGAGCACTTGAGATTTGGGAGAAGGGTAC